TTATTATTATTATTATTAATCAAGCGCTGCTACTTGAGTCTCAAGATTATTAAAAGATTTCTTAGTCCAAGGGCCAGAAGTGATTTTCAAGCTTTTATGCATTTTGCCAGAACTGAATCAATTAACATTTAATAAACACAGCTGGATGATTTGAATCTGTGTGATTTCGGCCAGTCTTTGCCTGGTAAGCAGTGTTTTCTGGAGAGGCATTGCGATGGAGATGACATCTATCCTTGGCTGTTGACTAACAATCACATTCAGAGCTTACCACTGGCCAGGCAGCTGCAGTACTGGCAGAGATACTACTTCAACAATTCCTCGCTCAGGACTGTAACTATGAAGGACATCTCCATGTAAATAAGAACCTCTTTCAGGGTTTGGTAATTTGCTTCATGCTCAGTCACATGTCAGCTTCTGACCCAAAACAAGCTGGCAAGAAATTAGCTCTGAACTGTCCAACCTTGCAGGTAAACAAGCAAGGGGTACACATGGCAATTTCTTTATCGTACACCTCTTTCTGAAGCCACAACTAGGAATTCGACAATTATCCTAGTGTGTAGCAAAACACGGTTAGATTAGAAATTCAGTATCTACTATAAGGAAATCTGGAGTGCCATTCAGATATTTTTCTCACAGTTGACATTATTTCAGGATGTTTTTTATGATGATTATGCCCATTCTGATTTTATCTGAACAGTGAAAGGCTGAAAACAACTATAGGTAATAACCTAGGAAATTGTCTCACCTTTCCGGTTAAATTTCTACATTGATGACAGACCAACTCTAGGCATTATTGCCAAAAAGTGACTTACAAAGCTGTGTCAAGGAGCTGTTGTTTCTCCTGTAGCTCCTGCTTCAAGCTTTCCACCTCTACTTTCAATTCGATGTTCTGCAAACAAAAAAGAACACTGATTATTAAAGAGCTAGAAGCGGCAGAGTTGATCATTTTAATGGACCCAGCAAAAACCCAGCAGTTATAAAATTGATTTTGCTAATCATTTCTAAATATATCACTTGGAAGAAAAAAAAAAACATTTTGTCAACTTTCCTTAGAAGTGTCATGCTTTTATATCCAGTTCTTTATAACATCCTTAGCTAGAACGACGATCTATAATCTTTCCATGTATAAGCATATA